AATTGCCTACTGAAGCAGGTTGGGCTCCCACAGCTTCTCCATCTACTTCCCCCTGGAGGCAGGAGAAGAGAAAGGAAGGGAGAGGTGGAAATGATGAGAGGAAGTACCCTTTAACCTTTCAATCAGACTCACTTGCTGGAGAAGCTGGTTTGGAAAGGGGTGTGAAAAGGAACACTCAGGGCAGGGTGGCCTGCAGACTCAGTGTGGGAGTGAGCCAAGGCATTTACACAAGCAGCAGATGCTGAAGGCTCCATGGGGCAGCCTCCCAGTGTGGTGTTGGGTTCCTGGTTGACTCTTAGACATTCTGAGAACCAAGCACTATCCTGAGGTAAACTCCTTGTCTTCTTAAACTAGCTCTGTTGATTGCAACTGTTGATTGAAATGCTGATACAACTCTGTGCATTACAAATGAAAAGATACCCACTAAAAGATTAGAAGTAAAAGTAGTATTTTCCAAACTATCTAGGGGGTGGGGCAGTAGAAATTATCAACCCAAGAGAAGTAAGGAAATGATGGGGTGGGGGGGATCAGAAGAAAAAAAAATCATAAATGGAAAACCAAAATAAAATGGTAGAAATAAATTCAAGGCCATTGGTAATTACAATAAATTTAAACATGTTAATCTATTCTGTTAAAAGATAGGTTATCTTCTTGGAATTTTAAAAATCCATTTGCAGAGTGCTTGAATGGAACAGCTAAAAAGGATCTAAAAAAACTAACAGTAAAAAAAGCTGAAAATAAAGGTTTGGAAAAAGATAAACCAGGTAGAGACTAAAAGCACAGATGGAGAGAGACCCTATATAATGATAAAAGGAGCCATCTACCCAGAGCAGACATTAGTAAAGAACCTCCAACACCTAATACATTGGTGACGGATGCAATGTAAATACATACTGAATTGCAAGGAGAGATAGATAAATGCATACAGTGAAAGATTTTTAAGATCCCTCTATTATTACAGATTAAGTAGAAAAACAATTTTTAATCTAGAGAAGACTCAACAACAAGCAGCCATCGAAAATCCTATGGAACACAGTCCTATTCTGACATTCATGAGATGGCCATGAGTTAGACTCACCACCAATTAGTTTGGTATGAAAATTTGGGGAATGAAAATGTTAGGTGCCGTATTTTTACAAAATGAAGCAACCTAAAATTCCTATAATAGGGGAATATGTAAAGCAAATGATGGTACACTCACAGAATAAATATAGCATCAAAATGAGGTTTAGTGTAAAAAATAGAGGAATGTTTTTGTTAGGGCTTGTAATATATTTTATATTTTAAATTTATTAAAAACTATTATAGTAAAATTTTATTGCATTACAAAACCAAGATATAAAATTTTATATACTGCATGATCTCCACTATGTTTTTAAACAGTTAAATAAGAAAAAAGAAGAGCAAAAACACACTAGGGGTTAAGAGGAGTTATTTCTATTTAGTAGAATTAAAGGTAATTTTTTTCTTTCCTTTCTTTATTTTCCAAATTCCTCTGATGGATATATTGTTTATCATCAGAGAATTAAATCAATTTCATAAATGAAGGCATTCCATTTAGCCCCATGTGTAATGGCACCCTTTTGAATGTCAGGAACCCCAGATCAGCAGTGTCGGTCCATCCCATCTTACCTCATCACAGCTGCAAGTCAAGGGCAGCTTCCATTGTTAAAGAACAGGAAAGTTCAAATGAATGAGTTAACATTTCTCATCAGGCCTCAGATCTTCTTGTCCATGCATTGGGCTCCATTTACCACCTCAGAAGATCTGAGTCAATTTCCATGACTCCAGTCCTGAGCCAACCTCAGCTCGCTACTTGCCTCTCTCCCCCGTGATGTCATTCAGTGTTGAGGAGTTCAAGGTCTTGAAGACATGGCCTAAGTTCCTAGCTTGGGGAGTGTCCGGGCACTATCTCCTTTCCTGGGTTGAGAATGCTGTTGTTAGGTGTCATCGAGTCATTTCCGACTCATAGAAACCCTATATATAACAGAACAAAACACTGCCCAGTCTTGTGCCATCCTCACGGTTTTTGTTGTTTGAGCCCACTGTTGCAGCCACTGTGTCAACCCATCTCATTGAGTATCTTCCTCTTTTTTGTTGACCCTCTACTTTACTAAGCATGATGTCCTTCTCAAGGGACGGGTCCCTCTTGATAACATGTCCAAAGTATGTGAGACAAAGTCTTGCCATCCTTGCTTCTAAGGAGCATTCTGGTTGTACTTCTTCAAAGACAGACTTTTTTGTTCTACTGGCAGTCCAGGGTGTATTCAATATTCTTCACTAACACCATAATTCAAAGGCATCAATTCTTTGGTCTTCCTCATTCATTGTTCAGCTTTCAAATGCATATGAAGCGATTGAAAATACCATGGCTTGGGTCAGGCGCACATTAGTCCTCAAAGTGACATCTTTGCTTTTTAACACTTTAAAGAGTTCTTTTGCAGCAGATGTGCCCAATGCAATACATCATTTGATTTCCTGACTGCTACTTCCATGGGCATTGATTGTGGAGCCAAGTAAAATGAAATTCTTGACAACTTCAATAGTTTCTTTATTTATCATGATGTTGCTTATTGGTCCAGTTGTGAGGATTTTTGTTTTCTTTATGTTGAGGTATAATCCATACTTTGATCTTCATCAGTAAGTGCCTCAAGTCCTCTTCACTTTCAACAAAGTTGTGTCATCTGCATATCGCAGGTTGCTAATGAGTCTTCCTCCAATCCTGATGCTCCATTCTTCTTCATATAGTTTAGCGTCTCAATTTTTTTGCTCAGCACACAGGTGTGAATAAGTATGGTGAAAGGATACAACCCTGACACACACCTTTCCTGATTTTAAACCATGCAGTATCCCCCATTCTGTTAGAATAACTGCCTCTTGGTCTATGTACTGTGACCTAATTGGACTCTCTTGTTCAGTCCTAGGGAGGATCTGGACCCTGAAACCCAGACACTCTCCCAAATGGTGGGGTTTGCCAGCTATGAGTGCACGGGGCAGAGATGATGGTTTCCTTGCAATGTCCCCTGTATTTGTGGCCTACAGAATGTGGCATCGAGGTGCTCCAATGCACAGTCTTCCGTAGGCTCATGTCATCTGAAGAAAAGATACAGGCACCGTAGGCTGCATTGTCTGGAAGCAGAGGACCAGGGGAAGGACAGTGGCAGACCCAGTGATCTGCCCCCAGCGGCCTCCAAAGGGGAAGCAGCTTTTCCCTCTGTGTGGCATGGGCACCCCTACCACAGCAGACAGTGTGCCCACTGAACTGAAACAAGAAGATGCAAAACCTGTAGGACTTCCCTAACTTGGGAGGTTATGAAGAAAATAACGACAGCAGAAAAAGAGTTAACTCAGAATTTCTAAACCCAGGCAGACCCTGAAAGAAGAACAAGCACCAGATGACTAGAGTTGCCTGGGCACAGACCGTGGCTCTCAGGTCGGTGACGTAAATTCCCCAATGGGCCTGAGTTCCTAAGGGAGAAAGAAGCACTGCTGAAACCGGACTGCTTTCTCCTACATTGGCCAGCTCTGTTGATGTTTCTTCGGGCTCCTTGTTGTTCCAAGTCTGACATGCAAGCTGTCATGGACTGAATTGTGTCCCCCAAAAATATGTGTATTAATTTGGCTTGGTCATGATTCCCAGTATTGTATAATTGTCTTAATGAGATGGATTAGCTGCAGTTATATTGAGATTTAAAAGAGAGAAGTGAGTAGAGAGACATGGGGATCTCTTACCACCAAGAAAGCACTGGGAGCAGAGCACATCCTTTGGACCTGGAGGGTCCCTGCACTGAGAAGCTCCTCCACCAGGGGAAGATTAATGATAAGGACCTTCCCCTAGAGCCAACAGAGAAAGTTTTCCTCTGGAGCTGACACCCTGAATTTGGACTTGTAGCCTACTAGACTATGACAGAATAAATTTCTCTTTGTTAAAGCCATCCACTTGTGGTATTTCTGTTATAGGAGCACTAGGTAACTAAGACCAAAGGTCACAAGGAGAGCAGAGAGACCCTCAACCATGCCACATGCACTCATGGCTAAGGGATCAATTCTAGCTGTGAGGAGTGTTCTTGCAATGCTAGCACATCTGTGACCCCAGGTTCTCCTATGCAAGCCCCTGTTGTTGCCTTTACCACATCAACCCAGGGGGGTCACAATTCCTGACCTAAGCCAAGTGATAACCCATGTTGGAGACACAGTTCAGACCAGGATCAAGCCCATTAGTCCTGAAAGACATAGTGATTGTCACAGACCCTTTATGTGTGCTCTCAGCCACAACTTTTAGGACCACACAAAGGAAGACTGACAGTTAGAAAGGCACTGCTGCCACATTTATAGGGAATAAAGGTTGAAAACCTTCAACCAATGTCTCTCTTTGGTTTTTTAAACGAAGAGTAAAAAGGAAGGAAGATGTGAGGGAGGGAGGGAAGGAGGAAAGAAGGGAGGAAGAAAGGAAGGAAAGAGGAAGGAAGGGAGGGAAGGAGGGAGAAAAAAGGAAAGAAGAAAGAGAAGGAGGGGTGGAGGGAGGGAGAGAGAAAGGGAGGGAGGGAAGGAAGAAGAAAAGAAAGGAGAGAGGGAGGAAAGAAGGAAGGGAGAGAGTGATGGAGGGAAGGAGGGACGGAAGGAGGGAGGGGTGGACGGAAGGAGGAAGGGAGGAAGAAAGAAAAGAGAGAGGAAGGAAGAAAGGGAGGGAGGGAGGAAGGAGGGAGGAGAGTCAGGAAGGAAGAGAGGGAGGGAGGGAAATAAAGTACAGTCTTTCCAGGGAGGGCAACAGCCTTCCGTCAGCTGACCCCGAAACAACCAGTCACCTTGGACCACTCCCCCTTCAGTTCGAGTCTGGGCTCTCAGCGTTCTCTTCCCTGAACGCTGCCTCATCTGTCTTCTCAGTCTGTGACTCCAGTAGAGGGAGAAGGTCTCACTCTCTGCTTCCTTGGAGGAAAAGAAGCTCCAGATTGCATGCTGGCTAGTAGTGGAGCCCTCTACATCAAAAGCGTGTGACTCACCATGGTGGCAGTGAACGGGATGTTGTCAATCAAGGACGAGGCTGTGGCTGAGACCCAGACCACCAGGACAATAGCGGCTGCAAGGCGCTGGTCCTCAGGGAACATCTGGAAGGGGCAGATAACAGCAATGCTCAGACCTAAAAGTTAGCTGTGCACAGTCAGCTGCAGTGTTAAATCACACGCATTAGGCTGTGATTTGACCTGTGAGATTTAGAGGGACCTTCTTACACACAAGAGACCAAGGCAGACACAGATTCAGTGGCCAGCAGGTGTTCAAACAGGGGCCACTCCCAGGCTTGTCTGACTCCTTACAGGACCCTCTGGGTTTCTATAAGTAAATGAGGGGAGGCTAATTCTGAGACCATGCTCCAGCCTCCTAGTCCAGTCAGGAAGAAAGCAGAGCTGCCTCTTCCCTCACCAGCACCTGGTGGTGACATACATTGTCACCCTGACCTGAACCCCAGCACAGCCTGGAATAGGGACTCTGCAGCTCTCATTTGCTCAGATTAGGGGCTGTGTTGCTCTCCTTCTTAGACATTTTTCACTAAAGGCTAATAGCCAAATAGCAGGAACCTGTAATTATATATTCTTTGGGAAATGTCTCCCTTCAGCTCCAGGCTACACAGGATAAAATAGGTTTCTTGCAGTAATTTATTACGTAATTAATATAACCTATTCTTTTTTTTTTCTTACAGAATCAAAGGGACAGTGTCTGGAGCACATTCTATTACAGCATTTAATGTACCTTTATTAGCAAAGCAGTCTGTTCTCCTACATATTCTATTAGGTGGAGATGCGCCAGTGCCTAGAAGAAATGGATATATGGTGATAACTAGTTTGAAGCTGACAACATATGCAAATTTTTAAAAACTATGTGTTTAAAATAAAAATATTAAGAAGCTTAGACTCTTGCTTCTTATAAAAGATCAGACTCAAAAATACAGTCTATAAATAAATTATTATCATACGTGCACATAGAAGACTCATCAAGGAAAACAGCACAACAGCAGAAGCAGGGGATTCCTCACTGCTTTGCATTAATAGCCACATTAAATTTAAATTTAAATGGAAGGCAATTTCTTTATTTTAAGATCTGTGTATAGGAGTACTGTTCAACTGTACATAATGAAATGCCATTCCATATAGAGGGTCTTCAGGTAAATTGCATTTTTGATTTCTTTTTAAAGTTAAATATTACAGTTAGAGCTTAAGTACTAAAAAGAAAATGTTTTTATAACCTTCAAAAAAAGAAAAGAAAGGTGTGTTTCACTAAAGCATTAACTAATTTCACAGTATTGGGCAGATTCAGATCACTGTATTACAGGAAAGGTAGGAGACAATTAAAGAAAGAAAAGGGCAGCACAGGAGCCATTCTGCTAAGGCTGCCACCTTCATCAGCACCAGCGGGGATGTGGGAACAGGAGACCATTAAAGGGGGAATCTTGCAAGAATGACACAGTGATGACACAGCTGTCCAACACCTCTCAAATTTGAGTTTTTCTCACTGCAATTTGATTACGCTGAAAGACTCTCAATATTGAAAATATCAGCTTAAACATGTTCAAATACAAGTTTAAAAATCCCCAAATTTATGTATTGGTTGTTAGTTTGCCTTTGTTTAAAAGCTACAAAGTGCAAATGCTGGTCTTACATCACGGTCCGCAATTCACAATAATCTGTTATATCAACTAAATTATAAGGATAAATTCTATTTAGAGCAGGGTTTTCAATTCAGTCTAGTGACATTTTGGCAGGATAATTCTTTGTTGTGGGCAGCTGTTCTGTGTGTTATAGGATGTTTAACAGCATCCTTGGCCTTTACCCACTAGATGTCAGTAGGACCTCCCCTCCATCAATGTGACAACCAAAAAAATCTCCAGACATTGTCACTGTCTCCTGGGGGACAAAATCATCCCCTGTTGAAAACCACTAATTTATAGTAATCAAACACTTCTTAAAAGAAACAAAAATTTTAAACTTGAAAAAAATTAATTGTAATCATACTTTTTATTTTGTTATATAATACTGATTGAAAGAAAAGTCAGAGTTCAAAACCAGATTTAAAAATTTTGTCAGATACCAAATAGAGATGGTTATATGTGTGTATGACACACACACTATAAGTACACATCTTGATGTCTGCCTACAGACTACTATATATTTATAAATATAAGAAGTGTAAGAAGACAAAGTAAAGCAAAAATCTCTAAAATACTTAAACATTGTATCTAATGGCTCAGTTCAAAGTAACCAATCTCTTAATAGAAAAAAATTCAAAATATGATGAAAATACAAATATCTAATAAGTACTCCATAAAATGACAAATGAAATAACTACATAGCACCTCCCTTGATTAAGCCTAAAATTGTAAATATATGACATATACACTACACTTCAACAAATCAAAGTTTGTGTACAGTTGAGAGTTATATACATTGCTTGTCTTCTCCATCAACTTTTATAGTGAAATAATTATTGTGTAATCACAGTATGATTTCTATCATATTACATAATAATTATTTGCTGTTGCAGAAAGCAAATCATGAGCAGATTCAGCAATGGTCTGATATTCTTGCCCCATTAAAATAAGCCAGTAAAATCAACTGCTACTACTTCTTTCAATATAATGGATTAGGTGGTCTAAAAGTCTCTCCTGCAGTGAAATAAATAAATCCTGGATAAAACACACTTTTCAACACATTAGTAAATTAGCAAGACAAGGTAGTGTTTTCAAAGGAATTTCCTTCACCATGAAAATGTTTCCTACAGCTACAAGACTTGGGTAGTGAGGAGGGATAGGATTGCCTTGAAGCATAATGCTGACTGTGCACCAAAATCAGAGCAGTAAGGCTTGAGCACCAGCGAGGTTGTAGACTGAAACAAGGACATTCACACTGAGCTGAGATCCTTGAACGGGACTAAAATTATCCCTGGTATATCAGAAGTTGACACAACCAGTTTCTGGGAGAAAGTATCCCGAATTTAAGCCCTCGGGAGTCTTACAGATTAAGCTCAAATAATAAGATTATAGTCTAAAAAAGGTGGGATTTTTTCCAGCAATGCAGGGATGGTTCAACATTCGAAAATCAACCAACTTAATACACAACATCAATAGAACAAAGGAAAAGAACCACATGATCATCTTTATGGATGCAGAAAAAAGAATTTGAAAAATCCAACACTCTTTCTTGATGAAAACCCTCAAGAAGATGGGAATAAAAGGGAAATTCCTCAATGTGATTCAGGGCATATATGAAAAACCAACAGCCAACATTATACTTAATGGAGAAAGATTGAGAGCTTTCCCCTTGAAACTGGGAATAAGACAAGCCCACCCTCACCACTTTGATTTAATATTGCATTAGAAATCTTAGCCATAGCAATAAGACAAGAAAAAAGAAATAAAAGGTATCCAGATTGGAAAAGAAGTAAAATTATCTTTATTCACAGATAATATGATCCTATACATACAGAAAATCCCAAAGAGACTTCAGGAAAGCTTCTGGAGCTAATAGAGGAATTTAGCTAAGTTGCAATGCACAAGGTCAACAAACAAAAATCAGTTGGGTTTCTATACACCAGTAATACAAAGGGAAATTATTCCATTTGCAATAGCATCTAAAAGAACAAAATACCTAGGAATAACCTTAACCAGAAACGTGAAAGACTTATACAATGAGAGTTACAAAACACTGCTGAAAGAGATTAAAGAAGACTTAAATACATGGAGAGGTGTTCCATGTTCACAGGTTAGAAGACTTAATATTTTTAAGATGTCAGTACCGTATTTTTAGGCAAATTATGCACGCCTTCTATGTTTGTTTGCCAACCACCCCCTCCCCTCGTAAGGTATTTTCATAAGTGTGATATGCTTATGCCAATTTTTTACAGCAATATGTAAAAAAAAATTGGAATAGTAGCACTTCGGAAAATACCTCATGGGGGGAGGGAGTGGTTGGCAAAAAAATGTAGAAGTCCCATACCAGAAATAAACTCATACATCTATGGTCAACTAATTTTTGACCAGGGTACTAGGTACATTCTATGGGGAAAAAAGAGTCTTTTCAATAAATGGTGTTGATAAAATTGAATTTCCACATGCAAAAAAATGAAACAGGACTTATGTCTCACACTATACACAATAACAAATTCAAAATGGATTAAAGACCTAAATGTGAAAAATAAACCATAAAATTCTTAGAAGAAAATGCAGAAGCAATGCTATCAGGCATAGCTTTTAAAATGGATTATCTAATATAATAAAAAAGCACGGGGAGGTGGAGTCAACATTGCACCCTAGAATGCCACACCATGTTGTCCCTCTGCAGCAAAGACCTGTAAAACAGATACAAATGTCAATCCTGGAACCCTAAGCATGAAATAAAATGATAAAGAACTAGATCAAACCTCAAATGGAAGAGGAAATTGAGGGAAAACAGAAAACAAAGAGAGATACAGAGTGGAGGTCCCCTGCTGACTAACACAACACAGTGTCACCATCTTGTAAAACAGCGAGCAACAACCCCAGACAGGGAGTATGGGAAGGCAACTTCACGGATACCCCAATAGGAAAGAGAGCACCAGGTAACCCTCAACCCAGAGAAACACACTTTCCCATCCCTCCCCTTTCTAGTGAGTAGCAGCCAGATCCCATCCAGCCCAGCAGCCTTGACCACAGAGGTCCACAATATGCGCCCCCTACTCACTCCACCCCCTCCTGCCACGTGGCAATATTCCCCCTCTTTCTTCCATTTCTTTCTCCCTTCCACCTAGCCCTGTATGTCACCTCTCCTCCCTTCCCACCTGCCACTGAACCCACTCACTGGCCCCAACTGTGCCACCATTTTTTATTATTACTATTTTTTTTCTTTTTTTCTCATTCTTCCTTTTCTTCTCCTTCCCACCTAGCCCCATACACCACCTCCACTCCTTTCACATTAGCCTCTACTGTGCTGCCATGGCTACAGAGCCACAGACCCACTGCCATCCAGGGTCCACCACACTCCCAACCACCAGCTCCCACTGCACCATCATTTTTTTCTTTATTTTCTTTCTTTCTCTCACCAAGCCCCATACGTAACCTCCCCTCCCTTCCAAACAGCCCCCAGGTCCACCCTTCCTCCATTCACCAGCTCCACCAAGTGACGATTTTTTCCCTTTTTTCTGTTTTTTTTTTTTCCTTTCTTACTTTTCCTTGTCCCTCTCACCTAGCCCCATATGCAACCTTGCCCTCTAACTGCTGGCCCCCGTCGCACCACCACAGATAGAGTGTCACTGGTGCACCAGCCTGCCACTGCACTGGGTCAGCCCCACCTCCACCAGCTAGTCCCCACAGAGCATCATTTATTTATTTTTTATTTGTTTATATTTTTCTTTCTTTCTCCCTCCCACTTAGCCCTGTATGCCACCTCCTTACCTTTCCCACTGGGCCCCACATCAGCCTCACTCCTACCTGCTGCCTACCACCACTATGTCCCCCTTTTTTCTTTCTCTCTCTTTTCTTCTTCCTCCCACCCAGTCCCATATGCCACCTTCACCCACTTCCTACTGGTCCCCACTATGCTGCCATGGCTAGACCATCCCCAGTACTCAGGCCCACCACTACACAGTGTCTGAAGCACCCCTACGTTCCTGACATTCAGCCAGCTGCTGAACGGTGGGAAGTGAGCCCACACCACTCCCTCTCCGACACCTTCACCCACCTGGCAAGTGGCTGTGAACCCTCCCACACCACTGGACGAACATCAGGAAACAGACAGCACCTGCCCAGTTCACCCTCAGCCACTTCATTAAAGCAGTGAACA